GCCGTAGACTTGGCGTTGAAGTCCCCTGCTACCAGAACCTGACGGGGGGCCGCGCGGTGGACGACCCCTTCGACCGCAGCCAGAAACCGCTCAAAATCGGCTCTACTGCGGTTGGGGGAGAAGTAGGTCGACACTACCACTACTTCTCCCCATCGGGCCGCCACATACCCCTCGCCTCTTTCCACGAAAACGAAGGAGGAGCCCGCGCCAGTAACCACGACGGCCGTGGAGCCATCCGCCGCCCCCATCCTATGTGGGACGGGGGGATGCGGTACGGCTCCGAGACGAGCACCACGTCCACCCTCCACTCCGCCGCCACCTGACACAGGAGGTCCTGTGCCCCAGCGCAGTGGTTCAAATTAATTTGTAGTATATTCCCCGATGTCCTATAGGGCATTATTAACGGACATCGGGGTCGCTACTGAAGCCGATACCGGCTGTGCGCTGCTGGGCCCTCCCTGCAAGAGGTGCGGCCTGCGACGCCTCCCTGGGGGGTGCCCCTACATAGGGAGGGCGGCCCCTGACCAGCGGGGGGTTACATTTGGCCCCCGCCATCCGGTGCCCGGCTACCAGTCCTCTGTCCGCGCACACGTCGCAGTGCGGCGGAGCAGAGCAGCACTTGGCTTTGTGCCCCTCTTTGCCACAGCGGTAACACAACCCGCTGCGGTCCTTTTTGGAGGGGCATTTGGCCCCTGGATGCCCGGGCGCCAGGCACCTATGGCACCTCATTGGGCGCCGTTCCAGGAGCCGGGCCGTCGCCTCAAACCAACCGACCTGTAGCTGCCCTTCCTTCACAATCTTGGCGACCGCCTCCACCGGACATGAGACGATCGCCGAGCCCGCCCCTCTTAGACCGCTGGAAACTGCCCCCACCTTTATAGTCTCAGGGGCGCAGTCGGCCTTTGTTGCCAAGGCCGCCCTCAGCTCATCGGGTGTCGTAGCATCATCCAGCCCCGACACCCGGACCTCCGCCGTCTTGGTAGGCCTTGAGACCCTAGCCGACTCACCTAGAGCCTCTGCCATTTTGGCCGCCAGTGTGTCTGCCTGGGCCGCCGTGGTCCCGGACGGGAGCTCGATGATGCGAGCTCCTGTTATTGTCGTCCGGAACTTCGCTGGGCCAATGCCCAGCTCCCCCAATTGACTGACTGTCTGGCCTTGGTCAGGGCATCCTTATAGGTGGCCCCCCCGGCCACTGCCTCCGCTTTGAGGGTCACAACCACCGCCATCGTGGCTTTGGGACTTTAGGGGCCTTTTTCTTACCGGCCTTCTTCTTTTTACTCTTTTGGGCTGCTCAGCTCAGTTTGGTCAGCCGCCGGCCTCTCCTTCCTCACAGTAGGAGGAGTGGGAGTGGGAACCGCTGGAGTTACAGTCTCCTTTTTCTTCCTCTTGCCCTTGCCCTTACCCTTGCCTTTGCCTTTGCCCTTGGCCTTCTCAGGCATGTTGGCGGGCGGGGTAAGGGTGCTAGGGGTATTTGCACTACCCCCAACCGGCCGCGCAAAGCCATTTTTCGTTTGCTAAGAATACCCCGATTCTCCTAAAAAATTTGTAGGCACATACTAGATTTTTTGTTTGACCTTAATCCGTTTTAAAAATAGAGTTAGTTTCAATAGTTTTGAAGATATTAAATTTTTTCACTTTTTGTAGCAATTCATACTAAATTTCGTAAAATCAATGTAAACATTGCACGTGTCATAAATTTTATCCTATTTAATTTTGAAACTTCTAAAAAGTAATAAAAAGCAAATGGAATTGAAATAAAACTGTTCAATAGACTCTTATTTCTTTATTTTGTAAGGAAAATAAAATATTTATAATTTCGAAGGTAGTTAAAGAACATTATTTATTGATTATTTAAATTAAAATATCAAAACAAAGTATAACAACTTAACTCACAAATAACTTATCTATTATTTTAAGTTATATGATTACAGGGGTAATCTCTATTGTAAATGACAAAAATTATAAGTTAATTATATCATTATTATATTCAACTTATAATATTATCACAATAATATCATTCCAATACAAGTTAAAAACAACAATAGGAAGATTATTACTTAACTCACATGACGCTGATGCTTTAGGCTGCACACTGATATCCCTTGTCTCGATCAAAAAGTGAATGTCAAATCCACCAGACATCTGAATTTATACTTTTAGTTCCCACCTTCTCAAACAAATTAACAGTGGCGCCATCTTTTACAATGTAATTATTAAAGCCTATGGTAATGTAATTATAATTCCATTTTATATTAACTTAAATCTCTTTAAAACATTCAAAGATAATTATCATATTATAAGTACAACAAAACATTGCTCCTTTCTTTAAAAGAAAACAAAAACGTATACTTATGATGGGCGGCAATGTTATCAACCAATAACAATTGGTATTTTATTTTGTAAAATATCTTCTTATCCTGTCAAATGGAAGGATATCAATTATTTCATACGGTCCTTTATGTGTTGGACTTAACTTATCATGACGACGATGATCCTGATTAACAAATACTATATTACCAATCTCAAAAATCGTGTTGTCTCTCCTGACAATGTCAAAACGAGTTTTGAATTTTTCTGCTTCTAAACGTAAACGCTGGTGAGCTAAATTACGATCCGTTCTAACATCTGTGTTATTTTCCGTAACACCTATACTATTTAGACGAGACTGAATACTTGGAATGTTTGCATTACGGCCGATAAGTAGTTGGATTGGTGGAAATCCTGTCGAATTTTGAATAGTAGTATTTAAAGATTGTTGCACTTTCCACAAACTGCTCGGCCAGTCTGACGAACCGTTGCAGATAGTATTAAGCATATCTATTACAGTTCTTACATATCTCTCTGCCTGACCATTCCCACGGGGTGTTCCAGTAGCCACTATATGGTGTTCTATATGCAATTTGCTAAATAATGTTACAATTTGATGCGAACTAAAATTAGTGCCTCTGTCTGTTATAACCAATGATGGAGTACCAAATAAAGTAACAGTTTCGCGAATAATTGATACAAGTTCCCGAGCATTTAAAGTTTTAAGTGGTTTTAATTGACAAAATTTCGTGAATCCATCAACAATGAGCAAGACATACCGATATCCCTCGGCTGAAATCGTAAATGGGCCTGTGCAGTCTAAATGAATTGTATGAAATGGTACGGGTGTTTTTTCTATTGGGTGTAGATATCCTTGTTTAGGACCTGAATGTAACTTGCGTTGGATACATATCAAACAGTGTCTTAAGTATTTTTTGACAAATTGAACCATTCGTGGAAACCAAAAATGTTCTCTAAGTTTTTTTAACGTTTTCTCAAACCCTACATGACAATTTTCGTCGTGAAATAATCTTAAAAGTTCTAATCGGGCTGCTTTTGGAATATAAAACTTAGGTTCATTAGGTTTGTAATTATAAAGTAATAAATCATTATGCAAGAAGTACTGATTTTCATCTAGATCACCCGAAATGACTTGGCTAATCAAATTACGGGTTTTAACATCATTCTGCTGAGAGAGGGCTAACCATGTAGGGGGCTCTTCAATTAAGTTAACTACAAGGGTACGCGGCTTTTTAGCACAGGTTACAGTATTACAATTCATAATTAAAACAGAATTTTTGACAGGGTTACGACGAAAAAATCAACATGACCTATGTATTTACCCTTTTTGTATATTATTTCAAATTCGAAATCTTGCATAAATGTCCACCAGCGAGCAACACGAGGGGAAATATCTTTCTTATTCATTGTTGATTTGATGGAATTGCAATCCGTAAAAATTTTAAACTTTATACCTAACAGGTACACCCTAAAATGCTTTAGGGCATTAAATATTGCTAACGTTTCTAAATCATAAGAACAATAATTAGATTCTGCAGGGGATGTTCTTTTACTAAAGTAAGCAACGACTCGCTTATCGTTATATTGGTTTTGTACTAATATTACGCCGTAACCTAATGAACTTGCATCAGTATAAAGTTCAGTGGGCATTTTTGGATCGAAAACTGATAACAAAGGTTTGGTTGATAAATGATGAATAACATAATTTCTAGCTTCATCATGTTGAGAACTCCATTCCCATTTTTGATTATTTTTAGTTAAATTAGTTATACAAGCTATACGAACTGCAAAATCTGGTATAAATTTCCGAAAATAACTCGCTAGACCCATAAATTGCCTTACTTGTTTAACATTTTTTGGGATGGGGGAATGAACTAAAGCAGCAGTTTTAGCTTCACTTGGTCTGATGCCATCCTGGGATATATGTCTACCCAGGTATTCGATATTGTCAACGAAAAATTTACATTTTTTCTGGTTTATAGTAAATCCAGCTTTGCTAAGTGCAAAAAGGGTCTCTTCTAAATAACGTAGACCCTCCTCTATTGTTGTAAAGGGAATAAGTATGTCATCAATGTATACCAGGAGGAAATTTAAATGCTGTACTGCTTTTGCTATAGCCCTTTGAAATACAGAAGGTCCATTGCAAATTCCAAATGGCATTTTAAGAAATTCATAATGGCCATTAGGAGTGACAAAGGCTGTATACTTTACAGATTCTGGTGAAACCGGGATTTGGTAAAATCCATTTTTCATGTCTATTGATATAAAGAGTTTAGCTTTACCTAACCTATCAATTTGATCTTCGATGAGGGGGAGTGGGAATCGATCTTTTTCGATAAGCTTATTTAATGCCCTATAATCTATACACATTCTATCGCTACCATCTTTTTTCTTTACTAGTAACACTGGGCTAGCAAAAACCGAATTACTTTCGCGAATTATGTTTCTATTCAAAAGATCATTTACAATCTCATCTAATTTCTCCTTTTCAACCGGAGCCAATCGATATGGGCGATAATAAAGTATGCCATTACTGTGTAATCGCAGACTCAGCTCACCAGTTCTTATGGTAGAACTGTCATCCAAGACAGAAGGATACTTGAGAAAAGTTTGTGTAATCTGTTCCTGTAGTTCAGGATTTAAATGATAAATTTTTGAGGTAAGTTCAGTCATGGGTCAAACACAAAATTAATGGTTCATAATTTCAATAAAATAAAAAGTGCTATATTGTTTTGAAAATCAGCCTTTAATTAAAGAGTAGTATCTAGCTAAATTAAATAATATTGAAACAGATCAGTCTTCCTTATTCTCTCGAAAAATCACAATTTTAAAATTTTCATGGCAACAGAAAAGATCAACTTGTCTACAGGAAATAACGTAGTCCTTACCTCTGTTATCAAAAAATTAAAAAATGTTTATGGAACTTAAACAGTACTGATTTAAATAAATTTCACATCTTGTTAAAGTCAAATAATTTAAAATATGATAGTATTTTCGAAAATAAAAAATAATTCTAAATTGTCCACAGATTGGACAACTTTTCTGTAGAAATTCCACAGAAAAGACGCAGTTGTCTACAGATAATAACGGAATATTCATTAACATGATCAGTTATGATAATAAGTTTACAAAATTCAAATAATGATACTCGAAATAAACGTCAATATTCCTTTAAGAAATCCCAATAGTGTTAAAAAATTAAAAAAAATAAAAAATAACTAATAATCCTTATTTGACCTCAGATTGGGCACCTTTTCTGTAGAAATTTTACAGTAAAAAACAAATTGTCTACAAAACAATGTAATCCAAATTTCCGTAATCAAATTATATCAATTTGTTCCCAAAACTCAAGTAGACATGCTCGAAATAAACCTAACTTCTCCTTGAAGTCAAAATAATGTTCGAAAATGAATAAAGTTTGAAAATAAAAAAATTAAGTGATTTATAAACGAAATGTTGGTCGTCCAATATTATCTCTAATCAAAAAAATAATTTGAAAACTATATAAGCTCCAACTTATTTATACATTTCTAAAATAATAATAGAAATACAAAATGTAGGAACATAGGGCTTGAAATATGTTAAAGAAAAGAATTAAAAAATATTTTCATCATCAGAGTCATCGAATATTATACAAGGCATTCTGCGCTTCTTAGGTGTATTAATTTCTACGGAGGAATCAGAATCGTCTAAGTTTATTCGTCCACGACTTACGCTCTTCATGGGTCTATTACTTTGTAAGACTACATTTTCGATTGGATTATCAGGTGTCAATCTATCAGAGAATCCAGGTGATATTGGCTCAGTTGACGCAGTACTAGTTCTTTCACTTTCAGGCAAGTCGGGTTCAAACAAGCAGTTCTGATCATTGGAAGGACCTGCTTGAGGAGACGATGGCCTCACATTGAAAGAATGGTCAGATAATGCAGGTTCAATAGGTAAATTCGGAACTTTAAACTTTATTTGAATTTGTCCAATTTCATAATGCGAACATTTTTCATAGGCTGCGCAATCCAAACAACTTAATCGTCTGGCATGGATAACATTAGGATTCTGTATATGCCATGTTACTTGATGTATTTCAAGCGTTCCTTTAAACGGACGAGTAGCACTCTCCTTCAAAAGCGAGTCAATTTCAGGAAACCTCGATTCATCGATTCTAAATACTTCAATTCCTTGGCAATGCACGGACAGGCATGCCATCAATTCATCCAAGTTAGACACGTCATTGCCCTTTGCGACATGACTGTCGCAAATGCGCTTTATGCAACCTCCAACACCATCGGGGGCACCCTTTCCATGCCCCCTTTCACTATAATGCCATATAATTGAAGAAATGGAAAATTCTTTGCTCATTAACGTGGCGATTAAAAAAAACATAGACTTATTGCGGTATTGCGTTAGCGGACCATCGCTTAAAATGTGCAATGTTTGCAAATTTGGAGAGAGTTCCTTTATTCGTTTAATGATACTAATTAAATGTATGCATATAGCCACTGGGTCATGTCGCAGGTTCTCCGATACGGTGCAGAATGACGTGCTGTCTATCAAATTGTTAGGAGACTCTAAGTTGGTATTATAATATACGCTCGTATGTAACGAAATTTGCGCTTTTGATCCGCCAAAATGCGCAGACTGGACCTCTTGTCCATATTTGCAATTATAATTCTCCGAAAAATCAATATGCAGTAAGCCTTCGGTAGTGGACATATTTTGTTTAACATTTTGAATTGTTTTTATCTGATGAATCATATACGCGACGTGTTTTTTTAAAACTGGTAAGTTCGAAATAAATTTTTCAAATAGAGCTTTTTTTGTAGTTTGCACCTTTTCTTTAACAGTTTTGCGACATTGTTTAGTCACATTTTTAATAACGACAGGAAAACTTTTTGTGATCCATCTTTCGAATAATAAAGTATCATTTGGATTATCTATATGACATTCCAAAGTTTTGTCTTTACAACCAAAACATTTATTTTCTAAGCAAGTCAAGTTCTGGGTATTATTACAGCATAAATACTTAAGCAGCTCTGTTATAGATTTATAAGGAATAATTTTAGCAGCATATAGAGATTGTAATATAAAATTATTATTTGCGTGAATTATACATAAACAAGTGTTTCTAGAGTGGACTTTAGGAAATAAGACCCAAAATGGTCGGTATCTGCGGAAAGTTTCATATGAGATATTGACTCCTGACTGGTTTAAAAAAGCCTTATGTAAGTTAATGAGAGAGTCATTTAAAAACCTAACTTGTTTCTTCATTTTCTGCCTAGTTATTGTATCTTTTTTTCCTGATGTAAGTGTGCTATTTCTATCTTGAAGTAAAAAATCTTCTACAGCTTTCTTTGTTTCTTGCACTTTCTTACATTTTCTTTCTTGAATTGTATTTTCTTCGTTTTTTCTATTGCTAGATCTTAAAGCCCTCATACGGTATCTTGCCATTTTAGATTCCAGCTCAAGTATTCTTACTTTGAGGCGTTTGTTTTGCATTCGTAATTTTCGCGCATTTCGCTTTAATCTAGCATTGCCGACTTTAATACGCGAAAAAGAGGGACTAGACGGTGGAGTATTCTGTTCAACGAACCGCAAAGCGTTTTTCTCATTATTTACTTTCTGGCGTCTTAGTTTGGCTTTTTCTCTCCATATTTTTCTGATGTTTCGTTGTTCTCTAGGGGTGTAGTCTTTTATAGTTTTAATTTTACCCTGTTCCTTTTTTCGTTTATATCTTTCTCGGTCCTGTTTTCTTCTTTTCTCTAAGGCTGCTTCATCCATTTTAGCTCGTGCACGACGAATACTAAGTTTTTTTTGTTCACGCCTCCGTCTCTTTTTCTCTTCATCAGAAAGCTGAATTCTACTTCTACTAGTGCGTGGCATTTTATGACTGTAACAATGTAATTAAGTGTCATGCAATAAATATATTAATAGTTTCACCATTGCGACAGTCCATACGATAAAAACAAATCAGTTCAGCATAATAAACCTTATATTTTATCCCTTCTGTAGACAAAAGCGATAAAATATAAGCTTTTTTTTCAAAGTTAAATGTTTCCTGTAGACCAATTCACATGCAGAAAAGATGACTACAGAAAAGATGGCTACAGAAAAGATAATGAAAAAAGCGTGTAAAATGAGTTATTATGCATTGTCATTTACGATTTAGGCTAGGACAGACAATTTAAGATCCAAATGCCATGTTAGGGAGATAGGTAAGCTTGACGTAAAAAAAAAGCAATCAAAAATTATTTTTATTATTGCATATCCCTCCTCTTTTTACGGTATCACCTTGTTTACGTGCATATTTCGTAATATTTTAGAGAGATGCATGTAAAAATAATGAAGGAACTTAATTTTTATTTTTTATTTACATAAAAAATATTTTATTACGAAAAATGTGATTTCCCATCCCTTCAGTTGACAACTGTATCTCCTGTAGACACATGCATCTACAGGAAAGACGTCCACAGGAAAGAGATTTAAAAAAAAAACGACAGATGGCATACGATATTTCAAGGTTAGCGTGAAACCATATTGGCATTTATAAACTGATCCTTAACTCACATAGATGTGTGTGATTTATATATTTTATTAGTTTTTACTTACCAATTTACACGAAGAACAGAAAAGATCTTCAAAACACGACCAAATTCTTGTGTATCCTTTCAGATTTATATTTTTTTGCAGCACAGACGCCATTTGTCACAATTACAAGCGACGGAATGACAAGTGAAGCAGTGATGCCAATATCATAGAATTAATTTTTATGGGTGCGTTCAGAACGCTTCAATTTTGTTATTATAACGTGTCCACAGGAGCAGACTACAATATGGGAACAACATGTTTATATGGTTTTAATAATAATAATGGAATGCAAATTTTTCGATCTATCGTTTATGAAAAGTTGATTCGTTTTTACGTGTCAGTATAAAAAAATAACTGTTTTTGGAATTATTTAAATATTTTTTAACATGTAATTTATTGAGCTACTAAGTATCCGAACAGTCTACAGAAGGAGACATTTCGATATGATTAGAGCGAGAGAATAATTATAAACTCTTAAAAAATAAAAAAAAAGGTCAAATCTCGGAATTACTTAATGTAATTTATAAGAATAAAAGCTCAGACACGCTCAAAACTTAAACATCTGGACTTTGTGTAATCTGAACCAATTTTTTTTAATTTTTGTGTTTAACCCTCATATCAGATGATAAAGTGGTCATATTTACTTTATTACTAATGTCAATAGATTTTCTACGTAAAAAACTCCCTGAAGAAGTTGTAATAATTTCTATGTCAGGATACTGAACCGCATTTCTACCTATAATTAAATCATAACTAAAATCTTTATCTTTTGTGACATATAAATCAATTTCTAAAGAAACTTCTTCAAACTGAACAATCACCGTGACGGTGGCAAAACTATAGATTTTATTCTTGCCTATTCCGTTAATATAAGTAGGTGTAAGAAAAAAATGACAACCTATTTTTCGAGCTATTGATTCTCGTATTAAACTACAACTGGCTCCTGTATCTATAAGAGCTTTAATAGGTATATTATTAATACAAACGTTACAAAGTTTTATATCTGCTTGTCTAAAAAATTAACCTCTTTCTTGGGGGTAACTGTAATCGGAGACGTACTTGCTACTTCGGATCTTTGCTTATGGAAGCAGACGGATTCAGTATGACCATTTTTATTACAATATGTGCACACCTTAAAAACAAAAGGATTTTTATTCGAGACTTGACGCGGTGTTGACGGATTTACTTTGTTTTTTACACACTGTTTATGGAAATGCCCCTCTTGATTACAATTAAAGCATCTCTTTTCATTATTAAGTTTAGGTCGTTTACTTCCTAAAGAAGAATCACTACTGCTATCCGATGTTCTTTTATAAGATTTAATATACGTCGAAAGTAGAGTTATAAGTGCGGAAGTCGTAGCGACACTGCTATTTAACGTAGCCATATCAACATCGCTAATACCGCCACAGATTAACTCAATGAGTTGAGCATCAGAAAAATAAATTTTTGTACTACGCAGTAGCCTAATTTTTTCTCTAGCATAATCACTATATGAATCAGCTGAATTGGAACAATACAGAACTGCTTTAGTAAGTCTCTCGGATAGATTCCTTTTCTCAGGATAGGAGCTTATTATTTCAGCACGAAAATTTTCCCATGATCTTCCTTCTATAGGTTCTCATGTTTCGAACCACGCTAAAGCAGAGCCCTTAAGGGCCTTACCTGCTTTAGCAGCTGTCTTGTTACTACTCCAACCGAACTCCTTTGCAAGGATTTCAATGCTGTCGCACCAGCCACCCGCTCCGGAATCGTTGTCCGGATTGAAGAGTGGTAGTGCCACGTCGTCATCCTTTTGACTCGGTGTAGAGATAGCATTGCTTATTGCTTTCAGTAAATCACTTATTTCTCCGACATCCATTCTGTAACATACAATTATTTTTAGTTTAATGAGAATAGGCTGTTGATCCCACTTCTGATGTCATAAATTTTATCCTATTTAATTTTGAAACTTCTAAAAAGTAATAAAAAGCAAATGGAATTGAAATAAAACTGTTCAATAGACTCTTATTTCTTTATTTTGTAAGGAAAATAAAATATTTATAATTTCGAAGGTAGTTAAAGAACATTATTTATTGATTATTTAAATTAAAATATCAAAACAAAGTATAACAACTTAACTCACAAATAACTTATCTATTATTTTAAGTTATATGATTACAGGGGTAATCTCTATTGTAAATGACAAAAATTATAAGTTAATTATATCATTATTATATTCAACTTATAATATTATCACAATAATATCATTCCAATACAAGTTAAAAACAACAATAGGAAGATTATTACTTAACTCACATGACGCTGATGCTTTAGGCTGCACACTGATATCCCTTGTCTCGATCAAAAAGTGAATGTCAAATCCACCAGACATCTGAATTTATACTTTTAGTTCCCACCTTCTCAAATAAATTAACAGTGGCGCCATCTTTTACAATGTAATTATTGAAGCCTATGGTAATGTAACAATTCCATTTTATACTAACTTAAATCTCTTTAAAACATTCAAAGATAATTATCATATTATAAGTACAACAAAACATTGCTCCTTTCTTTAAAAGAAAACAAAAACGTATACTTATGATGGGCGGCAATGTTATCAATAACAATTGGTATTTTATTTTGTAAAATATCTTCTTATCCAGACTAGAAATACATTATATATCCAACACAAACCTTCTTAAAAGTGATACGGAATCTGTTAAAGGTTTTTCATGATTTAACAAAGCTTTGATACACATTTATAAAATAAAAGCATTTTGGCTAACAACTCGATGGTCGAGTCTACTTAAGGTATTCGCAAACGCCTGTGGATTTTATTACGAAGTTAACAGTGCAGTGAACAACAAGTTTTCCCCGGGTCCTGGCAGCAGACATCACGTTTTCCACGTCCTAAAAGGTATTTAGTACGTAGCTGTTTCTAATATTTTATAAAGTGATTATTTTTAATAATAAGAAATAAACCCTTAAGCGTAATTCCTTATCACACGCGTTGATGTCTTTTGTATAGGACAAATTTTTTTTCAAATCTTAATTAATTCATAAAAAATTCATTTTTCATTTTAGTTTAGTTTTTAATAGCACATAAGTTTGCTCTCATCTGGGTACACATCTGTTATCCGAGGGAGCGATAAACACCCAGTCACTAAAATTGTACGGGTGATTTAGTATAAACTTTCTAAAAATTCATAACTCCTTTACTGTTCGTTAGATTTTCGTAATTCTTTTTTAGATTTATTAAGTTGAGATAGTACTACCTACTCAAGTTATTAAATGTTGTTAGTTTCTAGTTTGAAGTATTTTTAAATAGTAAAATTAAAAAAAATCTCCTCTAAATTTGTTTATTTAATTGTAAAATCTAAAATATTCAGATTAATCAATCATTACAAAAACTGAAAAATATTAGGTATTCTAAGGTTTTCATTATCGTTTGAATTATTAATTTTAGTTATAAGATAAAGAATTTACGACGTTTTGAAATTCAAAACCTAACCCCTAACCTAACCTAAGGCAAATATAACCTAACCATTACAAATTATATAAAATCTTCTATTTACATATAATACATAGTGAAACTACTATAAAACTATTACAAAAATGCCGATACAACGCTCTCCAACGAGAACCAAAAAATCAAACCAAGAAATGGAGGTACAGTCAACTACATCTACAGCTGATGCTTCAGAAGAAGTAGAAATATTTTCACAGGCCATAGATGAGGTTACACTCCCTACAACACTTCCAAAAACAAAGTCCCAGAAAAATCCAAACCCTAGTCAGGAGGATTTTCCCCTGATTGTACTAAATGATACAGAATTGGAACAGGATAATATATCGACTACATTCCACTCAAAAAGGCAAAATCTTATACGACATGGCAAAGGCTCAAATGAAAAACTCTGGCAACTTAAAAAGATCCATAAAGGACCAAATGCTAGCAAGCCTAGAGGGAATGTACAAACTTGTACAAAATATGGAGAAAATGCAAAATACGAAAGGCATAGAGAAGATTGCCACCACACCTGGGACACAAAGCACAGAGAGCCAAGTAGTATTGCAAGAGGTGAAAGAAATCAAGAAAATCTTACTGCACTAGGAAAACCTATGCAGAAATAGCTACATCTTCTAAAATGATAAAAAACCAGGTACCAAAAGTTCCACCTCCAACAATTAGCCATGCTCCTAAACATAGCCTGATTATCTCTTCTGAGGTGACAAAAGACACCAGCGATGCCGTCTTAGATAAGATACGAAAGGCAGTTGATGCCAAAAATAGTGGACTACACGTAGACAGCATACGCAAGGCCAAAAACCAAAAGGTTGTAATCAGTTGCAACGATAAAACAGAAGCCGAAAAAATCAGCAAGAAGATCAAAAATAGCAACAAAGACCTTAAAGTAGAGGCGGCTAAAAATAAAGATCCTCTTGTTGTGATCAAAGATGTATTGACGGTCAACCAGGATGAGGACATAATAAATGCGATAAAAAATCAAAATAAACACCTAACGGAGGGAATCGCAGAGGAAGATTTCCGCGTAATGATCAAATACCGCCGCAGAGCACGCAATCCACATGAAAATCATGTGGTATTATTGTGGCAAGTCTCTCCGAAACTGTGGCA